AATTGACCACAAACCCACATTTTACATCATCCAAATGTGGAATGAGACCGAGTTTGGTGAAAGTATCAATATTTTGCGGTACCAAAATTGGAACCTTTGGGCCAAATTTTTGGTAATCACACTTACAACCTTTGAAAAACCCCAAAAAGTTGCAAGTGGAATTGTGAAAAAGTTGTGGGGGGTCCATGTGGTCAATGGAGTGGTACTCCTGCCCGACCATGAGAACCCAACTGTCTTCAATGCCTACACGTGGTTCCCCTACAGTGATGGTAACTGTGGTACCAATTGAGGATATAATAGATCGTGGTTGGGACATCTATGGGATATCGTCTAGGTACTTTGAAAGTGATGGTACTGGCAGTACCACAAGTCGTACCAACGCCGCCATTTTGAAAAAATGGAAAAATTGTCAAAATATGCGCAAATGTCTCGATTTAGTGGCATTTAACAGAAACGCTATTGTTTGTGCTCCAAAACCCGTCATCAAATATATAATAAACAGCTACAAAACTTCAAATAATGACCCACTTATTTATTGTTTTAAAAATTCAATTGTGACATATCCTACTACTATTTGGATGAGAAAAGGGTTACAATTTTATCAAAGAATTAAAATTTTAATTGCTATTTTTACTTCAGGGATTATCAGAAAATGGGAAAAAGAAATTTTGAGAACGCGTTTTGAAAATTCCACTTCTGGGGTCGTTGAAGAGAAGAAAACCAGCGGCGAACTTGATTTCAACAGTTTGAAATTGATTTTTTACATCTGGGGGGTTGGTTGTCTCACTGCTTTGGTTGTTTTTGTTTGTGAGGTTGTTTATTGTAAAAAAGAAAATTAAAATTTAGAATTGAAGTAGTTTTATTTATTTATTACGAGATTATAAACCCCCAAACCCATGCAACTTTATATACACGCGTGTGGGTATGTATGCCGACTATTACCAACCTTAAGAAATTGCAATGAAGCACACAAATTCAAATTCGAAATTTCGAAATTTCGAATTTGAATATCTCGAAAAGTATGCGTCGCACGTAAAGATTGACTATGTCAAAAAAGATGCGCAATTAAATGTTCTAACGAATGGTTTAGTCAAACTTGATTTTGGCGATGGTCATTTTCGTATCTCGCTTAGGAAAAACAAAATACCTACCTCAATTTATATTTTTAAAATCTATGTTTTTAGCTGAGATGTATGAGGGGTGACACGATAGGGTTATTTTTAGTTTGAAAAACCCACCCCTAAAGTGTTTTTTACGCAATGCAATTTGTTTTATGTCACATAGTAGGGTTATGAATGAAGAAAAACATTCCAAAATTTGAGATTTTTTGGGGGACTAAAAACCGAGATATTGAATTAATTTATGTCAGAACAATTTTTTTTAGATTCGACTTTTTACCATTTGATTCTTGTGATTTTTCTGACTCTTGTCAATTAATTTTATAGGCTTAAAACAACTTTGATGTTTCTAAAAATTCCGAAATTGATGAAATTTTGGCATAACTAAAAACTGCTAGCAGGTGTTGATTTTGATACTAAATGAAACTATAAGGGTCCCAAAGAGCGATCGTGAAAAGTAGGACTTAAAAAAAAAAAAAAAAAAGAGAGAGGAGGGTTAATGTGACGTTGCCCTTATTCTTCTACTCTTATTTTTGACTTTCTTACTCAATATCTCAAAAACTATGCATCGTAGAGTATTTTAACTAGTTGCATCGTGTTCAGCGCGTAATTTTACGTCTAGAAAACCATATTTCAAGCGTTTTTACGACTTTTAGGAAATTGACTATTTTTACGATTTTACTACCGCTCACCTTGAAAAACTCAAAAAGTTTGTAATTTTTTAAACTTGACCCAATAACGTTTTATGCATTTTTTTGAGTATTTAAGACCTCTATAAATGTAAAAAACGTTATATGGATGATTTTAAGGTTAAAAATTTTTTTGATTTTCGTCGAAATTTTGGTCGATTTTTGGCACCCGGAGCGATCTATTGCCAATAACTCCGGACTTATTGGTAATAACCTCTTATGTTTGGTACCGTTGGAAAGCAAATTTAATTTTCTATCATATAAAAAAAAGATCAGTGTTCTAGGATAAATAGTTATCGAGAAAATTTGTGATAAAGTCAAAAGTATGGATAATATAAATCCGACCATAACTTCAAAACTATTAGGAATTTTGCAGTTTTTTTGACGCCAATCGATTCTCCGGAACATTTTACATAGGTTTAGGTCAAGGTATTATATCATTGAGGCTCAGTTTTGCCGCAATTTACAAAACAAAAAAACCTAAAAATTTGTTAACCCCCCCCCTTAAAATCTAGTGTTTTTGAACATGTCTCAGATTCGATTTAAACCTATCTTATCCGATAGATTTTGACGCGCT